ATGCATAAATAGAATTCAGGATTTTGTCTTTTTGCCTGTGGTTTGGGGGTTTCCCGAATTTGGTTTCTTGATGTTAACTGGGATTTCGGGTGCTATATACGGTTGGTAAGAAAGATATGCTGGCAGTTTCTGCAAAATGTTATTCGTTTGCTCTTTGAATTCTCTTGAAAAATGGAATTGAACTGCTTAGATGCCTTTGGAAAAAAGTTTAGAGTCATATTAGGTTGCTCACATTAGGAACATTCCATGACCAAAGTTTCACAGCAAGGCCTTGTGTTATGTATATGCAGTAATGTTAGGTAGCGATATATGTTTTAAGAAACCTATGCATTACGTGGGGCTCCATTATTTTAACATTCTCAAATTGCAATTAATCTTGTAATTCAGTTGATTTAGCGGCTGCTGGAAATCATGGCGAGACACTAGACACTAACTGAACCAAGTCTATGTAATACGCATTTTACCAACGGAAAGCTTAAATGCATGGGGGAAAGGGAAACTAAATAAAGGTTCGTGATGAGTAGATGGCATGGCTGTCATATGTTATTAAGTCAACATTTTAAATCAGACAAAGTAGAATCTACACCTAATATTCTTAAAAGCAAAACAACAAAACAGAAAACAGTTCAACCTGATTATTCAATTAAAAGCAGAAGGGGTTGTGCTTTAGGCCTGAAAAGGTGTGGTTTGTTGTTAGGCAAGCCTCTATTTGAAATGATGCAAGGTAACAATAAAAAACTTTAAAGCTGTCATTTATCACCTAATTACACTCCTAAGGTTATGACTGTTTTAAGAGGAGTACCTAAAAAGTGACATTAGAAAACTTAAAAATTTCAAACTGTGCTTCATTGTTCTGAAGCTGATTTTCTACGAATTCAGGCAATATGTAGACAGTAAATATCTTGACACTAGCAAGAACATTTATTTGCAATAGCAATAAGAGGAAATTTTCTATGTATGGTAATGCCAATGGATTCGCTTATGTCTATATCCTTTTCCTTTGCTCCACCAGGCAAAGTCCAATTAAACTTGTGCACAAGATTTGCTAAGAAAAGCTCATTGATTGTTGTTGCAAAGAGAATACCAGGACAACCCCGCCTTCCAGACCCAAAAGGAATTAACTGGAAATCATGCCCT